AGGTCTCCAGTAGGTCATCTTTAAAATAAATGCACAAGCCTTTCCAACTATTCTGGTCAAAGGGATTGGGTCTTTTAAAATTTTCACTTGATGCCAAAACTCAAAGGAAATCCCAACACTTCAACCATCACTCTCCTTCTCAAGGCCCAGAAACTTAACCGGGGTTCAAAAGAACATCACTGCATAGGAAAGATAATTCTAGATGATGCAAAATACTTTTTTCAATCAACCTACTAGAATATTGAGGTCAGAATGCCCAGAAGGAAAATTATTTTGGTCAATTCTTTCATAGGAAAAGAAACTCTACTATTTAAAGTTTCTTTTCCCCCTCTCTAGGTTATTTTTGGGATTCAGACAAGGGTATTAGACTGCTTTCTGAAACTGGTCATTTTCTTGCAGATTTTTCATTACCAACTAGATAACATCATCAATAGTAGTCAGGAATGGGATTTGCTCTTAGTTTATATTCTAATTGCTTGCTCTGTTAGTGTTGGTGGGCGTGGTCTTGGAAGTTCTTTGGTTGGGCTGTTTACTATTAGTTTGGCAGTTCCTTAGTTGGGGTATTGTTTACTCCTTGATTGTTGGTCTGATGTTAGTCTTGGAGTTAATCTATATTTATCTGGATATTGATTAGGGTAGGGAGATCTTATTACCTTTCTGGCTTTTTTGTTGCCTCTTTTGCATGCTACGTAGCAGAGGTGGTATTCAGCCGGTTCTGACCAGTTCTGGAGAACCCGTAACAGAATTTTAGTTCAGAGAACTGGAAAATAATACCTCTGACTTATCCCACCATTTATTCTCTGCCTCCCAAGTCCCAGCTGATCGGCTAGGTGTTATTTTGTTGCCCTGAACAGGAAAATGGAGCTGAAAAGCAGGTTAGTGGGGTGGGGGGAATGGGATTTTGCAGAAACCTTCTCCCAGGAGTGGGAAGGGAATTGGGATTTTGTAGTATCCTTCCCCTGCCACACCCGCCAAGCTACACTAAGCCACACCATGCCCACCAAGCCATATCCACAGAACCGGTAGTAAAAAAAAATTAAATCCCACCACTGCTATGTAGGTATTGTTAATGTCTATTGATGGCTAATTTGTCAGAGTGCCAGGCTTCTAGAAGTTCCTAGCATTTTAGGCTTGGCTTGGTCTAGGATAGTCACAATTTCCCAACTGAAACTATGGTTAGGTCTGTCCATATGTTGTGAAATTAAAGAGTTTTGATCATGTCTTCTGATTGCTATGGGTAAGGCTATAGGAGACAGCTTCTATATTTCTATAAAGGGATCACAATTCTGATTATAGTATGTTAGAAGATTAGTGTTCCTACGTTGCTCATGTTTAAACATGGTAGTCATCTATATTCTTATTCAACTGCTTGTTATTTGAATAATAAAGTTCTGTGGGACAGTGTGAGATGAATGTACACTCATTCCAGTTGGTTATCATCATCAGAATGTTTAGTATATAGTAATCTCTAAGCAAATGGTGACTTTTTCATGTAGAGTATTTTTTACATGGTTTGTTTTACTGAGATCCCATTATCTTAAAATCACCAGATAGTGAGTGATCATGACGGGACGACAAATACACACACACACACACACACACACACACACACACACATATAATCTTGGGAAAACCCAAGAAAAATCTTTCTTTATAGATCTAGATAGATTTTACAATTCCACAAAAAGATATTGTTAGAATCTCCACAGAAAATTCCACTGAAGGGGCAAATGTTTCATTTAAACCAGAAGTATTCCAACATGAACACTTTGAAATGTGCATCGAATTATTGTGGGCTTTATCATGCTAAGGAGGATCACTGTCCACTTTGCATGAACAAGCTAACACCAGGAGCAGGGAAATTCTAGTAGGGCTCCTGCTTTGTTTGGCAAGTAAACATGCAAAGTTGCAGTCCTGCAGAATCTATTCCCATTCTGCCTGGGGCACCAAGTTACTGGCTTGTCCTTGCAAAGAGAGGAAAACACAAAACAAGCTTTGCATGCATGAGCCTTATGTTTTCTATGCCTTAGCTGGATGGTTGTCAAAACCGAACTACTGTATTGCTGGCAGGCAACAACAAAATCAGGATTTTCTGTTGCAGAAATTATGAAAATTCTGCAAGCGCATCCATCTATTCAAAATATTTTTTAAAGTTGATTTATTGTACATTTTCAAATAAGATTATCAGATTATGTCATTGTTATATGATTATACTATCATTGTTGTATTTGAAATATGTATCAATAATTATTAGTGATATAATTGTATCTTGTCCATCCTTAATTAGAAATAAATCATCAGGTTTGGGGGATGGGTGAGGAAAGGTAAATCACACACTTTCCTTTATCATTTTATAGGTCAAGAAAATGCAACATTTGCAAAATCTAATTTTAGAACATCTTAGATAACTTTGTTTTTAAATTTGATATGTATGTATGTATAAAAATTAAATCTTATAACATTTAAAATGCTTCCAGGCCTATCTTTTCCAATCTGTACCTTTCAGTCAAAAGATTTATAACTCAAAATGGAAGTCTTCTTTGTTGCACATATTACATTGCTATGTGAGAATATAACAGTGACCAATAAATCAATATAGAAATAGGCAGAAAAACAGAGCTTACTGACAATTTGATATATTTGGTATAGTTTTCCTATTATTCATACAATGTTTCATAACACTGAATTTTTACTTTATCTGTCATTTTACTTTATCTCTCATATGGTGTTCTGTTGCTAAGGCAAAAATTAAAATAAACATTTAACCTGTAAAACTGATCCTATTCTCAGTCATGTAATATAGTAAAACTACTGGTACCATAAGCAGCAAAGAAAAAAAAAACCCTGAGGGTTTAATAATACTAAATCAATTCAGGACTTTCAGACTGGTAAGATCTACAACCAATATAATTTCACCATTATTATAGCTAATTGTCATCAGCTATTTGTTACATTGCTTTACTGTTTTGTATATTGAATTCATTGCAAACAGAATTCAATATACCTTACATATAAAGGTAGAACAGTCCGTCACAACAATACCTCAAAATTTATGAATGGCAAATTGTGTTCTATTATGTGTCAAATAACTTGTAATTTGATTGGATCCATATTAAATAATAAAACAATATAGAGAAACCAGCTTGGAATGGCAGCATAGAATAACTGATTCAGAATACTATGTATTCTGGTTCATTAAAAATACTATTTGTGTATATATAAAATAAATACATGAGGCTTTTAAAATGAATTAGTTATTGGGCTATACTATTATTACTATGGATTAAATAAATGTATATGTGTGTGTGTGTCTGCAACACACAATTGTGAGCTGTCTGGAAGTATCTTTTCTGTCCAAATAATTAGGAAATGTCATTTAAGACAATTACGTTTGTTCTGAGCAGCTTGTATAAGCTAGCCTTAAAAATAATCAAAGCCCACTGAATAATAATACTCTTTGTTCCCATAGATAATAAGTATCAACTGCACAAAGAATGCAAGTCAATTTTACCAAGAAGTATTAACTCCATTTATCTAAATTATATGGCTTTCATACACCTGTAATTACAAAGCATATTGTTCAACCAAAAACAAACCCTTCCCTGGTACACAAAATGTGGGAAGAAAGTGCAAGAATGAAAAATCTGGTGCTGTACTATTCTTAGCTATTAATTTTTAAAAGATTACTCAAATATGCTAAATTACATTTATTCAACTTTCAGCCTGTAACAAAAGCTGTTCAGAAAGACCACTGTGGCAGAACCATCAGGAATTATGGATAAATTGTGTAGAATGGCTTTGTAAGAAAATTGATCTTTGGGATCTTTCCAAAAGACTTTGAACATTGTATCATCTGCTTTTATAAGCATCTGGCTACCTGATAGGGAAGCCACAAAATGCCTTGTTCATAGCTCAACATTCAAAATAATAACAAAGGCTTATGTTTATCTGTCACTAAATCCCACTGAACCTAGTGGGTTTTACTCTTAAACATAATGAAGGTCACAATTCTTCTGAGAAAGACACCAAAAGCACTTTGTATGCAGTAATCCAACTACCATTGATAAGAATGAAGATAGAAATAACATAGAGGAAAGGTTTTTCTTATCTATAGATTGAACATTTAATTGAGGAAATATTTTAATTGCAAACCAGTAAAGTAAAATATATAGCAAAGCCAAAAGCTTTTGAGGTAGGACTTTTGCCTTGAGAATGCTTTTAGCTGATGTATTCTTATATTGCATTTTGCAAAACTAAATGCTAAATCTAAATTTCACAAGCATCCTACAGTAACAAAGCTGAAATCAAGTTGCACAATCCTTTTTCAATCTTTATATCATTTGATTTAAAATGGTTATATTCGGACACTCTGGTTCGCATCAGAAGTCTGAAACTCTCATGAGATACCCCAAACGATTTTACACCTGACACCTTTCAGATGCATAAAGGTAAGAAGCAGCACCAGCCAATATGCACAAAGGCATCCTTAAAGGATCAGTTCCCTAACAAATTAAAATAAATTCTTCACTCCTTACACATCTGACCTTGAAGCCAACACCTTGGAGGACCTTTCTATCATTTACTTCCTGGTAGAACAACTCCATCGGAGTTTATCCAAGGTGAAACGGACCGTCCATCAACATTTAACAAAAATGACAAAAGCCCACGAGTGCTTTCATACGAGGAGGAGGGGGCAAAGAAAGAATGCCCCTATGGAACCCCATTTAGTAACCTACGCGGGGCTCCGCGGGAGGAAGAGAAGAAGCCTCGTAGAATGTTCAGTGTCTGACGTCAAAAACCTTTTCCCCGATTAAAACAAAAACCCTCCAGCAGGGCAGGTAAAGAAGTCGTGGGAATCCACCCCTGTAGGCAGGTTTTTCTGCCGGCTACCCGAGCCCGCATTCCTCTCTTTTAGCTTGCCTATCTTGATCTACATTCTTTGTGACCGAAACCTCATCAGATTTCCAAACTGTTCTCAAGCCCAGTCGGGAAGCGCTTACCCGTTTGCTAGGAGGCTGGGAACCGGAGCATCTGTTGCATTAGTAGCCGCTCTCCCATTGCTAATTAGAACCGAAGACCAAGAAAGCGTGGCGAGGTGGGTGTGCGTGTAGCGGGAGGGTAGAGAGCCATTCTCGCTCCTCTGGTTCCTGCTGCAGCCCCCTCACAGGAACTGAAAGCTGACACATCAACAAAGATGGCTGCCACGGGTATCCAGAGCAGCTTCATTGGAAAGGCGGAGTGAAGGCGGAGCGAGATCCGATTAACAGCCTGCAAGGGGGTGGAGAAAGAATCCTGAATAGGCCTGGGTTAATTCCTCGGTAGGGAGCCCGAAAGCTGCCTCTAGCCATTCATCGGGCCGTTGCAATTCATGCCTAGAAAGATACGGTAGCGGGGGGAAGCGATGTTTCCTACCGGTACCACGCTGGTTGGAGGTATCGGTCCTGCCTTTTGATGATCGCTTGGGTTTCGAGGATTGGATCCGTTCGCTGAATGAGACTACCGATTTTTAACCTCGCCATTGAGAGAAGCTGCCGTAGCTTGTGGAGATTGTAAAGAGGCTGAAGTCGAATCACAGAGTTTACTTACTGCAACGTAGTTCAAGAAAAATAACGCTGGAGCGTCATCGCGTCATTTTAGGAAGAGCCTGGTAGTCGTAGATTCCGGGGAAGCTGCTTCTATAGAGGCACCGAACTCGTAGAAGTTGAGGTGATATTTCGAGATTAGCTCACGTGCTGAAGCTTTCCAGTCATGATTCGAAGAAATCCATGTGCCCGAGACCCATGTTGTATATTTAGCACGAAGTTGGAACTGCTTTCCTTGATGACTCGCTTCTTGGAGTTATTCCAAGAAAACTATATACAGTACAGGCAGCTGGTGTTTTTCACACTAGCACATATGCAATTAGGGAAGATACACTCAGCCAATCTATCCTGCAAAGTAGTAATAGTAGCTTCTCTCGCAGGTGTCTACATTCGTCTGCACGCACTATCAAGTTGTGGCTGAGATCTCCTGGCAGCAGCTTTAGGATCTTGCATATTCAACCAGAGTTTTGTGCACCTTCTGGTGGGGTGAGATATATGGCCCAATGATCTGCAAAGGAGCAATGTGTTACAGCAATTACGGGTATTCCTATTGTATAGCTGCATAGCTCCAGTGGGTAGGCACTGTAGGACTCTCTTGCAAGGGAGAGACACAGGTACCCCAAAGTTCTTTTCTTTTTTTAAAAAAAGTTTAGGTTGAATATTATGGCAAGAAGACACAACTACAAGCCACATTTTTCATTTTCTCAATGCCAGCTATTTACTTTCCATTGTTGATAATAATTATTCTTAAATTTATATACTGCCCAATTCCCAGCAAGTGTTTTGTTGCTCAGCAAATATTTTGTTGCTTACTATAAGTTATGTTTGTCATTTTGTTTCTATCTAAAACATGCAAAATATGTTCTATTTTATTTCTTTCTGGTCTTGGAAAATTATTTTATTATGAAATTTAGTTGCTGTCCATATTGTTTCAAAGTGACTGGGAGGCTTACATTATTTTGTAAACCCAGCAACCTTAATTCTTGCTTTTGGCTTATTGTAATTTTGTTTACTTAATAGTGCTTAATATTTTCATCATTTATCCCTCATTGTCTCTTCCCTATCAAATGATTATACTTAATTTGTGTGACTAAATCTTAACTAGTTTCTTTCAGGTCTACATTTGTGATTAAGCCACAAGATTCTGGTTTCAGTCATTTTCTTTGACCTGGTTTATGCACCAGAGATGTATGATTGCCTTTATCTTTCGATTTGACTTTTACGAAAGAGATGGGCTCTTGGGTGAAGAAAGAATATGATGTTCTTAGATATAGTGTTAAAGTATTAAAATTGATGGTGAAAAGTTGCTGTTTATTTACTTTTTCACATTTTTCTCTTTTTCTGTTCATATTTTTAGTAGGTTCTATTTATTTTTATCTCTTTGATAATAAAATTATCAAAATAATAAGACTGGGAATGAGAGATAGGCAATATTATAAAGTCATTTGAAAGAAATATTTTTCTGGGACGTATCATATAATGTGATTGAATACAAGATGGGAAACACCCACAAAAACAGACAAAAAACATCAACTACTACTTCTGCCTAAATAAGAGGAATGAAAAAACATTAGATTTTACATTGTCAAATAATAGCTGATGATTTCAGATGTCACCATGAAAAGTGGCAAATATTTGCCACTTGTCTAAAATACAATCATTCCTATGATTTGAGAAGAAGCTGGAAGAAAATAAAACCACACAGATCCTTGTACATGCAAAAAGGCCATGCAACCTGTCAAACAAACATTAAATCACAAGCTACATTTATATACACAGAATGTTGTTGTGAAGCAAAAATGTATCTTTTTCATTAGATTTAAAATAATTATGCATTACAAATCACATCATCTGTAGAGATCATGGATCTGATATTTCTTTGGTGTGCCATAGAGTAGAAATTGCATTCAAACCTGTTTTGCAAGAGATCTACCTAAAATCATTCTCAATATACAAAACAGAATAACCGAGTCAGAAGGGACCTTGGAGACCTTTTAGTCTAACTTGCTCAAGCAGGAAATCCTAATACTGTTTCAGACAAATCTTTGTCCAATCTTTTCTTAAAAACCTCCAGTGTTGAAGCACCCATAACTTCTGGAGGCAAATTGTTCCACTGATCAATTGTTCTGTCAGGAAAATTCTCCTTAGTTCTAGGTTGGTTCTCTCCTTGATTAATTTCTATTCATTGCTTCTTGCCATACCTTCAGGTGATTTGGAAAATAAGTTGACCCTTCTTTGTGGCAGCCCCTCCAATATTGGAGGACTGTTATGGTATGTTTTATCCTCCAGTCCCCTAATTATCTTGCTCTTCTCTGCACTTGCTAGCATCTCAATCTTTTTTATATCATGGCGATAAAAACTGGATGCAAGATTCCAAGTGTGGTCTTAACAAGGCATTATAAAGTGGTAATAACACTGTGTGTGATCTTTATTCTGTCCCTCTGTCAATGAAGCCTACAACTGCTTTGGCTTTTTTGGCAGCTGAAGCACACTGATGACTCATATTTGATTGTCCACTGGGATTCCAAGATCCCTCTAGCAGTTACTACTAGCCAGGTACTACCTATCCCAGGGGTGTCAAACTCACGTTGTCACAGCATCGTCAGGTGATGTATTGTGACTTTTTCCCCTTCACTAAAGGTATGGGCGTGACGAGCGTGTGACGCATCCAGCTTGTGGGCCCTGAATTTGACAGCCCTAACTTATACCTGTGCATTTGGTTTTTCTTGCCTAAATGTAGAAATCTTACTTTTCCCATCATTGAATTTAATTAGATAGGCCCATTGTTCAATTCTTTCAAGATTCTTCTGTATTGAGCCTATCTTCTGGAGTATTGACTATTCCTGCCATTCTGCAGGATACAAATTTGATGAGTTCTCCTCCCTTGTCTAAATCATTGATGAAGATATTCAAGAACACTGGGCCTAAGACAGAGCCTTAGTACCCCACTGCATATTTCCTTCCATGTAAATGCGGTTCCATTGAGAACTACACATTGAGTGCAGTTGGTTAACCAGTTACAAAACCATCTGATACTGGTAATGTCATGCACAGAATAAGGCATTAGTCACATTGATTTTTAGTTCCATTATGTGGTAATGTGGCCAAATTGTGGCTTCTGATATTTGTACATGAGTCAATTACAGCAATATATTTATACTGCATCATTGTAATCACTGATTTATCAAATGGTAAAGTTCATGTATATGCAAGAAATAGTACTTCAACCAATACTTCCAGATGTAGTAGTCCAGGATCTTTTAAAATAAATATTGGTAAGCAAAGAGGGCAAAATGAATCACGAGGAACTTATCCTTACTAGAATATTGAAAGCTTTCCTTATTAAGAAATTTTAAAAACCATGCTTCAGCAGACCCACATTTTTGCACAAAGGTATTCCAAAACATAAGATCCATAATTATGTTTTAGTTTCTGGTCATATTTTTACATGACATTAACTGAATCAGGATTACTGACTTAACATTATTTTTTAGGTTTCTATGGTGCATCTTTATCACACAGGATGAAGTCAAAATGCATGTTAGGGTAAAACGAGGTTAAATAGTTTGGGATTCAGTGTCGTGTGGCTATAGTTCATGGTGTGAGTTATTGTTAAGTTGGCTACTGTTTATTTTGTGAGTTCATACAGCTCACCAAACCATTAACTAAATCCCCTAGCTGGGTTAGTAAAACAGTAGTAAAACAGTGAAATATGATAGACTAGTTTGTAGTTTGCTATGTTGCATGAATCTAAAACACTTCGTTACTTCAATAAATTGCAGGCTAGCAAGTTGTGTAAAAAGGTAAATTGAGGTTCAAATTCTGCAAGAGAACCTGCAAGCACAACTTTCTTAGGAAAAAAAATGTTATTTTGGATTTTTTTAAAAAAAAAAACACGAAGAATATAGTATTTAATCTACTGGGCTCAGATATGGGACTATCTTAGTGACCTAAACAGATTACTTTAGTACTGCAATTACTAAAAGAGATTAAATGCCCGGAAACAAACAGAACTTGCTTCGTAAGAAATAACTGCCAGCATTCAAATAATTAGACATGTTCAATGTAACCTATACACAGCACTCATAGTTTAGCATTTGACAAATACCTAAAATCAGCATCATTGTACTATTGTACAAGTATTTTAGGCACAGGCAGTGAGATGGGATGTTCAAATCTCGCGCAAGAAAATACGTAAACCGAAAACACAACTACCGTACAGCTCAGGTACCAACGGAGCCAATATGAAAATGCTTTGCATCATTGAGGAACTTTAAAAGAATGAAGAAAACAACACATCTTGCAAAGACACAGCTCAAAGTAGGCAACCCCGCCCACCCGGCCTTAACTTCACACTCTCGGTGTCCGCCAGTTATACAGGTGGTGCATGCGCTCTGCTGATCACGCGGTGTGGAGAAAAGGAGACGAGGCTGGGTATCTGGAACGAAGCCTCGTTTTGTTCGGATTAAATAGCCGAAGAGGCTGTTGGAAAGACCGCGCGGCCCTGGATTTATTTTTATTTTTTTTCGTACGTGGGGAGAGTGGCGGGTTCTGCTTCCAAACTAGCAAATGTAAGCTCCCACCCTTTCGCTTCCACTTCGACTTTTGGGAGTTCAATTGCATTAAGCTCGCTC